AAAAAAAAAAAAAAAAAAAGTCAAGGGGTAAGTCCACTTAACTGTATGGGGGAAAATAACCTGCTTCAATGGTATCCTAGGACTTCCAGATATAAGCAATTCAAGAGGGGTTATTTATTTATTTACAGATATAAATAAATAAATAAATAACAAGTTCCCTCTTTAAATTAACTCCCTATCATCCCCTCGGATCATGAGTTCAGGTTCTGAGGATCTGTGAGTTTCTTACCATCCCAATGCAGAACAGGATAAAAAGCAGCAGCCACGGTATGTCTGTGCAACTACGGTCCTCCAGTGGCTTCCATTCTCGTTTGGAGCTCTAATTGAAAACACAAAGAGAGTGGTAAATGTTAATTTTAGTTAAAGTTAGGAAGGTGCAAACATGCCATCGATACCTAGATCCCTTCTTTTCCTGACAAATTCCTATTGAACCTTTGAGTTCAATAGGAACCTCAAATATTTGTCACCTTTCTGTGAATTTTACCCTAACACCCACCTCTCTTCCTGGCCAGGATTGATTCCAATGCTGTTTTGGTACCTCTATTAGAGCAGTTAGCATGCTGAATTATTATTGATTGAGCTGTGCCCCTAGCAGAGCATGAACTTTGCAAGGGAAGAGACCACTTCTCATTTCCCAGCGTCCAACATGATGCTTGAGGGTTCATGGTATATACTTAGTAAGGGCTTTTTTAAATTAATAAACAAACAAATTCTTCCAACATCAATCTTGGTGGTAGCTTTTTCTTTGTGTGTCCAGATGCTAGACTTAAAAATGTAGAACGTGCTTTCTACATGTTCTCATCTAGGAAGGAAGCTCTTTAATTATGAATTCCTATTGAGGGGTAGACTCTTCTAAGTCTAATAAAATTCAGGAACGAAAAACTAAATTAAAACACTTTTACAGACAGATCTGGGCAACTCCTAAACCACCATCCACAGATTTTCATTCTGTTTTTAGAAAGTGTAAAGAGTTTTTAGATCAAACACAAAGATTCCCTAACTAAAAACTAACTAAAAAGCTAAAGGCATTCTAAAAGTTAACTTGCAAAGTATTGATTGGAATTGAGTGCATTTTTTTTTCATACAGCGATAGTCTTAGGTTCTCAAATCAGCTCACAAATTCCCTTTAACCAGAATGTAACTGAAATAACACTCTTGAGCTTTCTAATGAACAAAAATCCCTGAGTCTCACACCTTTTCCTGGAAACAGTAAGCAGAGAAGGGAGAGAGAAGGTAGCCTTGGGAAACTTACGGGAAAAGTTCCTGCAAAAAGAAGGCCAGGGCCTCCAGTGGCTTCCATGACAAGATCCAGGAAGCTATCCGGAGAAGGCCTGTCAGTAGGAAAGGACACCAGCACAAGGTGTGGTAAGGAGATAAGAGAGCCCTCTAGTATAATTAGTACGTAGAGTTCAAGAGTGGGGATCCAGTTCTTAATCAGGTTTGCTTAGCTTTCTCTCCTTCTAAAACAGTTTTTAACTTTGACAACCTGATGAAAGCTACAGATTCTTTTCTTAGGAGATAAGCATAACTAAGTTGCATAATTTTCTTAAAAGTTTAGGGAATTCAGACCCCAGGTTATGAAACCCAACTTTAAAATACCTGCCTATGGACACTGAGGGCAAAGCGCTGGAGCTACAACCACTCCTTCCTGACCCCTAAATGCTAACCAGACAAATGCCTTTCCCTTCTTTAGTGTCTTATACACTGTTAGTTTTTCACAAACAACAACAAAAACCACCACCCTTGATAGTTTGTGCCCAGACACCCACACAAGAAAACAAAAGAGCACTAGTTAGTCATGGAAAAAAACCTCACGCCAAGACTCTAACTAGCATTAAAAACCAAGAGTGAGTAGGCAGTGTTTTCCAGAGGAATATAACACTATGGCAAATGGATAAAGGACTCTGTCCTCTCCTTGGCTCTGTCATTAGTTAGCTACATGGCTTTAGATAAAACGCTTCATCTCCCTAAGTGGCAGGAAGAAGTGAGATTAAATCTCTTAGGTTCCTTCCAACTCTAAAAATCTATGGTCAGGAATGCAGTTTTGTGAAAATTTGTGCAATGACAAAAGAACTGCAAAAATAATTTGACATTATTCCCTGTGTTATTCAAATAAGAATGCACGCATTGTGGTCTGTGTTTTGGAAGACAGTTGTTCATAGTATGAATAAAGAATGTTTCTTTGTATTAAATAATTTCAAGCTTGAATAATACCCATTATAGTAAAATTACTTACAAACACAGAATTTGGACACATCTTTGAAATTCATTCCATTTACTCTAAGGTGATTTCCAGAGCAATGGCTACTTTGAAATACTATATTTGTTTATCTTAACAAACAGTATGTATTAGGGGAAGGCAGCGGGGGGACAAGTCTCAGACTGATTGAGCATGTTCTTTATCCACAACTCTTTTCTTCGTATTTTTACTTCAGACCAACATTCAACTTTTAATGCTTAAATTTTTACCTATAACATAAAGAAGGTAGAATTTCATTTTGACCAGAAAAACACAAAGATTCAATATCTCAACAGTCAACTTACTGTGGGACACTTCTGGGCCAAATACATAGAAAACCTTTCACTGGGGATGAGAAGTGGAGAAGGGGTAGGGGTTACATATAAAACAGTCACAGAGTACAACACGGAGTAGAAGAATACAAAAAAAGGAGGTAGTCACCTCACTCAGATAAAGAAAGGCTTCTCCAGGAGGGGCAGCTTACCTCATAGGCTATTCTGAGGATTAAATGTGAGCATCTGTCACACAGTAAGCACTAATTCTTGGTTATAATTCTTATTTATCAATACTCACTTTTCAGTTAACCTTCTCGCTATTGTAAAAATATCCCTTTACCAGGTGGACCTTTCCACTAAAAGGACAGAAAGAATATTAAATTCACCTTTTCCCCTTCTATTACTAAAATTTTGACTTAATGGTGGCATCTTTCATTTTAGCTGTTTTTAATGCTTTCAGTTATTGATTACTATTAACTAGGCACTATATCCAAAGCTTTATACACAGTACCTTCAAAATAGCTCTCTGATGTATGTATCATCCCTATTTCACAGCTAAGGAAACTCAGGCTCAAAAGCTAAGTAATCAGGGGCTTCCCTGGTGGCGCAGTGGTTGAGAGTCTGCCTGCTAATGCAGGGGACACAGGTTCGAGGCCTGGTCTGGAAAGATCCCACATGCCGCGGAGCAACTAGGCCTGTGAGCCACAACTACTGAGCCTGTGCGTCTGGAGCCTGTGCTCCGCAACAAGAGAGGCCGTGATAATGAGAGGCCCGTGCACCGCAATGAAGAGCGGCCCCCGCTTGCCACAACTAGAGAAAGCCCTCGCACAGAAACGAAGACCCAACACAGCCAAAAATAAATAAATAAATTTTAAAAAGCAAAAGAAAGTTAAGTAATCAGACCAAGGTTTCACAACTGTGCAACCAGGATTTGAACCCAGGTCTGTGGCCACAAAACCAAATCTGATGAGAATATCGTTCATTTTGCACTAGTCAGTAAAGAGCAAAAACACCTCCATTAGTTTTTCCTCACACAGCAAAATTTGGAAGCCAACCCAATAATTTAAAATCCTACAGGCACAGCGAAAAAGAGAGATGTTTTATGAGCCATGAAATTTTTCAAGCAAGGCAGGAAACCCAACAGTTGAAAGAATTTAATGATTCTTTAACAGACTTAACCAAGTGGTAACTGGATTTAATGCTGTTTCTTCCAATTAAAATCTACATAGACCTAGCAAAAGTAAAATGTTTTGCAAAAGCACTTTTTAAATGTGATTTTTATCCCTTTCTCAAATTCTACATGAGGTTAATAAAGGCTGTCAATCAATGTTAGGTCCCTTTCCATTCACAGAATCTTACAATTCAGGAACTAAATAGGACCAAAATAATCATACAGTCTAAGCCTTTAAGTGACCTAGGGAAAGGAAAGGAAGGGACTTGCCTGACTTGCCCAAGATAATTGTTTTGATCTTCAAAACAATTCTGTTAGTTGTTATTATATATTCCCAGTTTTTCTGCTCTGTAAAAGAGAAAACCAAGGTTCAAAGAAAATAAGTGGAAAATTCAGTACTGAAACCTGAGTCCTCAAACTCTAGCAGAGAGATGGAAACTATAAGAAAGAGTTAAGAAAATGCTAAAAATAAAAAACCGTAACAGAGATGAAGAATGCCTTTGTCTGGCTCATCAGTAGACTAGACACAGCCAAGGAAAGAATCGATAAATTCAAGGATAGGTCAATAGAAATTACCCAAAGTGAAACACAAAGAAAAAGAGAATGAAAATTAAAAACCCAGAACAGAACATCCAAGAACTACAGGATAATAGCAAATGGTCTAACATATGTGTAATTGGAATCCCAAAAGAAGATTAAAAGGAGCATAGGGAATGAATAAAGAAATAATGACTGAGAATTTTCCAAAAATAACAAAAGAAATCAAAACACAGATCCAAGAAGCTAAGAGAATCCCAAGCAGGATAAATACAACACACACATCCCTGCATACACACACACAAACACAACCTACACAAACTATATTCAAAATGTTGAAAACCAAATATAAAGATATCATCTTGATGGCAGCAAGAGGGAGGAAAAGGCACACTATAATCAGAGAAGCAACGATTATGCAAACTTCTTATCAGAAACTATGCAAAGCAAAAAACCATGGAATGACATCTTTAAATTACTGAAAGAATTAAAAAGAAAAACAAAAACATTATTAACTCAGAATTCTATACCCAGAGAAAATGTCTCTCAGAAATGAAGACTTTGTCAATGAAAACCTAAGAGAATTTATCAGCAGCAAACCTGAAGTACAAAAAATGTTAATATGCTCTTCAGGCCGAAAGAATATGATACGACACAAACCTGGATATACACAAAGAAATAAAGACTTGTAAAATGAAGTTTTGAAATTTTCCATAATAAAGTATTTTAAAAATAAGCGTGTGAATATATGTGTATAACAACATTCTCATTACAGTCTTCTTGCACACTCTACAAGATTAATAACCTAGAAAGCAGAATTACAATTTTTAACGCTAGTATTAGACCATAAAAAATAAATCTAAGTCAGATCACAGCTGATGTATGCCTTATGTTTGTATTATATTCATATCCTTAAAGTTAGGGAGGAACAATATTTAACATCTTCACATTCCTTCCTATATTTTCTACAATATAGATTAAAAAAAATTTTTTTTTCCATAGTATCTTACAGAAGTCATAGTACAGGCAACTATATATATCCTAGACTTCACATTCACTATGAACCCTAATAGCTAAAACCAAGGCCTCCTGGTGAATTTGATATGATAGGGGTGTGTATTTTTTTAGGAAATAAACCTATAAAAAGTTTTGTCTTAAATTTCCATGTTGGGACTTCCCAGGTGGCGCAGTGGTTGGGAATCGGCCTGCCAATGCAGGGGACACGGGTTCGGTCCCTGGTCCGGGAAGATCCCACATGCCGCGGAGCACCTGAGCCTGTGCGCCACAACTGCTGAGCCTGTGCTCTGGAGCCCGCGAGCCACAGCTGCTGAGCCCACATGCCACAACTACAGAAGGCCAGGTGCCTAGAGCCCGTGCTCCGCAACGGGGGTGGACGCTGCAACGGGAGGCCCATGCACCGCAGCAAAGAGCAGCTCCGCTCACCGCAGCTGGAGAAAGCCAGCGCGCAGCGGCAAGGACCCAACACAGCCAAAAATAAAATAATAAATAAATAAATAAAATAAAATAAAATAATTTCCATGTTGTTCCTAATGAAGTCACAGTTGTTGAGTAACTTTTTTTAGATAATAGTCACACACAAAGATTTTGACAAGTGATATGTTACAATCAGTTAGTCAAATCAGCCATCACTGGAGGGCATCAGCAGTAATAGGGTGGGCAGGGTGGGCCAAGCCAGGGAACAAATCAGGTAGGAAAAGGTCTGGCAGATGTGAATCTAGTTCACAGAAGTAGGCAGGGCTGGTTGGATCAGGAAGATATAAAAGGATCAGAGAGGCAACAGCAACAATCCAGAGTTAAGACAAAAAGAGTCAGCTAGGTCTCAAATATGGAAACAAGTAGGGTCCAAAATCCAGGAAGTCAGAAGATCCAGGTGATACCTAATGGCAAAGATCAAATGCTCCCTGCCCTCTTTCTATGCTCTGCATACTGTCCGTATGACTCTCTCCTAATTAAGACAGATGTACAAAGATTCCCAAAAGATTCTTATCGTAACCTAGTAACAGTATTACCTAATGCTATGAGTCTTTCCTTGATACACCAGATTTTTGTAAACATGGTTTGAAAATAATGAAAAATGTGCTTAAAAAA